GAGTGGTAAAGCCTCTAAATGATAGTAGTGGTGTCCAGGACGTGGGTTCGAATACTGCACGAGGAATAACATTTACGTAGGGAATATTGTGTAATATTTTGGACCTCTGGGTGACAGGAGGGGGGAGGGAGTACACATATAAAGAAATAATGGAGGGAAGGGAAGCGAGGCGGAGAGAGAGAGAGAGAGAGAGAGAGAGAGAGAGAGAGGAGAGAGGTAGAGAGAGAGAGTATGTGTGTTTTCTATAAGCCTAGTGGTGTGACTCGTATTAGTTGTTGATTGGCCACTCTCTCTCTCTCTCTCTCTCCCACCATCAATAACGCTGGAGATCGGTGCCCAGGGGATACAACACCGATCCACTACCACTGTTACAAGACCATGACCCATTCTATACCCATCCATCCTCATTGAGTATCGAAGGTTCCTCAGAGTCCGGACCTAACCTAACCTAACCTAACCTAACCTAACCTAACCATTAAAGGTAACTCTATCTATCACATCGCGGGTCTGAATTCAAGGCTCTAGCTAATGTTTATATATCAACTATATAAACCTGATAAATATATAACACTTTAATAACACTCCCTCTTACAAAGTCGGCTATAAAAAGGTTTTCCCCTTCAGCCAGGCACAAAAAAAAATAACTAAATCTCAGAATGTTCTAGACTCGGCCAGAGAGCGTTCTTCCCATCGTTCTTCCTCTCCTTTCAACTGTTCAACGTCACTCATAAGCTAAGCCTCTTCAAACCATTTTTCTCCTTGATGTCTGATTCAGGATTGGATTTTAGGATTTTATTTTCAATCTTTTTTTTTGGTGTTGTTGTTGTTGTTGTTGGGTTTATTTCTGTTTTAATCGACGATGTTACGGGATTTTTTTTCTTTTATTTTCTATTTATTTATTTTTTTTTTTTTTGCTCTTTCGATACTAAAGTGTAAAATATTGAGAGGAAAACTCCTACTTTTTTTTTTTCTAGTATTACATTTTTCATCCAACTTATTTATCATCCTTTTCTTCCTTCCCCTCTCCTCTCTCTCTCCTCCACTTCCTCCTGCCTCCTCCTCCCTCATAAACTCCTCACCACACACCTGCCCTCACAACTCATAACACACCTGTACACCTCCCCATCCCTGCCTCTAATGGCCTCACACCTTGCCACCAATACATTTACATTAGCTCAGCTGTTCTTGATATCAGCTGACATCCACTCACTCCCTGAGCTAGTTACGAAAAACACATACACACACACACACACACACACACACACACACACACACACACACACACAATATAAATTCATTCTCCGACTATTTAAAAAAAGCGTAAGATTCCCAATGGTATAGAGAGCTGTTGTTACGCGAGCCAACACGAGCCAGACAGTATATGTAGACTGGCTCTGTGCCAAGGTGGGGCTGTAGGGCCATTTGTCGAATTCTACTGTCTAAGTGATGACAGAATATTCACCCCCTGAGCAAAAGCATATGAGTGTGTGTGTGTGTGTGTGTGTGTGTGTGTGTGTGTGTGTGTGTGTGTGTTCAGGTAGTAAAAGTTCCTGTCTTTTCATATAATTAAGGTACAGTATCCCTCTCTCAGACACACATAGGACATAAGCCCGACACAGGTAGTCAGGATCCGACCAATATTAAGGATTAGACTAAGAGATGGCTGGTGTCCGCTATCAAGCACGCCAGCCCGGGAGACGAGACGACCACTCGCACACTGATAATCAAGACCCAAGTGGCGTAGGAGGGAGGTAGGACCGACCAGCCTCCTACAGAACCTCAGTGGGAGAGAGATAGTCAGTTTAATATGAAGCCTGACTATAACCTGGAGATTAATCTATACCTATAATCTAACCCACGTATACTTCATCTGTACCTATAACACCTAACCTACACCTTATCTCTCCACCTAACCTCCACCTATCACAGCCTCCACCTCACCTCCACTCATCAACCTCCACCACCTCCCCATCACAACCTCCACTCACCTCCACCTATCACAACCTCCACCTCACCTCCACCCACTCCACCTATCACAACCTCCACCACCTCCACCACATCTCCACCTAACCCCACCTATCACAACCTCCACCCCTCCCCCACCATCACAACCTCCACCCCTCCACCATCCCCCACCTCCACCTATCACAGCCTCCACCTCACCTCCAAGAATTGAATATACTAAGAATAAAGGAAGATAATCAATATATGTCAAGACGAGACGATAAAACACTAGGAGGTAGTGAAGATAACTGGATGATGGTGAGTCAGAGGCATGGAAGGTGAGATGAACGATATAATAAGAGGGATTGACAATTTACGTCCGGGTGATGTGTGGTTATTGCCCACTAGGGATACACACACACATACATACATACGCACACACAGGTACACACACACGCGCGTACAGACACATACATACGCACATATACACACACACACACAGAAAGAGAAGGAGATAGAGAACAGAAGATGATAATAGATAGTGAGGAAGATTAGAGAGAGAGAGAGAGAGAGAGAGAGAGAGAGAGTAAATCACCACATATATCAGTAACAGCCAGAAAATTAGCAATAAAATTTTATGGTAATCGCTAGTGTTCTCATTCTTCACTCTGGCCTGTACACCACCACCATCCTGACCTGTACACCACCACCACCCTGACCTGTACACCACCACCACCCTGGCCTGTACACTACACTAACAATTCACCTGGCTCAGGCACACCACCACCATCCTGACCTACACCACCACCACCCCGCCTGTACACCAACACCACCCCACCTGTACACCACCACCACACTGCTCCACTATCAAACACCTGATCGTGACCATAACAATAATCAATGATTGTCCAGACCACCCTACCTCTATCTCTCTCTCTCTCTCTCTCTCTCTCATCACCTCCATTCCAGCGAAATGGATTCTTCCTGGAAGCTGGAGCGCTGGATGGCTACTACCAGTCCAATACATTCTTTCTGGAACGTGACCATGGCTGGACCGGTCTCTTGGTTGAACCTAACCCCGTCTTCTTCCAGAGGCTTAAGGGAAGACATCGTAAAGCCTGGGCCTCTGATCTCTGTCTGGGGACCCAACCTTACCCTTTTAAGGTAGGTGAAAGGATCAAATTTTTACTCTCTCTCTCTCTCTCTCTTTTGGACATCTTGGCTAAGTAATCACAGTACCTTTTTACCTTCTCCAAATCGTCGGTTCGAATCCCAAACAGAAGAAAAAGGTAGGTACAATGAGCCCCCTTGGAGAACTTAGCCCCTACAGTTGGCTCTCTGCGCAGGTGTTAAAGAGGACCTCACCTTCAGGAGAGTAACACCGCAGACCCTTTGTTACTATAACCTGTTTTTTTAAGGACGGTTTGGATATAACTCTACTGCGGGATCCAAGAGATTAATGCTGCGTCACGATGACTCAGCGTATTAATGAGTACAGTACGCTGATAGTATTGATTAATAGTATTGGTAGTAACAATGGGTAATTATGAGTAACAGTGAGTAATTATGAGTAACAATGAGTAACAATGCGTAACTATGAATAACAATGAGTAACAATGAGTTCCAATATTACAGACACACTTCTGGGTATACACAGGCGCTGACCCTAAGCAAGGACTCATTTCGGCCTCACGTAGCAGTCTACTTAAAGAATACATCCAGAACTACGTAAGTATCTAAGTAACTTGTATCTTCAGTACCTCAGTAAAGTGTATTGTCAAGTGAGTTTCATATCCCTGTTACTTGTTTTCTAAGTGTGTTAAGTAGATAAAATGTTTAATGTTTTTGTTGTGTGTTTAGTAACTTAGAAATTTTAAGTGTATACCTCTCTCCCATCTCTCCTCCCTTCCACTTCACTCCTCCTTCTCTATCCCTCTCTCTCACCCCTCCTTCTCTATCCCTCCCTCTCATCTCTCCCTCTCTCCCTGCAGGGTGAGGAGGGCCTGAAGAGTGGCACTGTGGTGGAGGTACAGTGTGTCCCTCCCTATAGTCTGTTACTCGCCCTTAACGTCACTCAGGTCGACTTGTTCTCCCTGGATATAGAGAATGCTGAGGTACCCGTCCTGATGGCCTTCCCCTTCAACGAGATCCATGTCGAGGTGAGTAGCCCAGGTACCGAGTGACTCAAGTACCGAGTGATCCAGGTACCGAGTGATCCAGGTACCGAGTGACTCAAGTACCGAGTGATCCAGGTACCGAGTGACTCAAGTACCGAGTGATCCAGGTACCGAGTGACTCAAGTGCAGTGGCTCAAGGTGCCTTTGTGAAGGCTCAGTGCATATGACAAATTTGTATCTTGGTGAACTCCCTCATGGCTCTTCCCATTGTTTCTCTTAAAAGGTGTGTGTGTGTGTGTGTGTGTGTGTGTGTCCTAACAGACCCCAGACCTAATAGACCCCCATCACCAAACATGAAACCAGACCTCCATCGTCCCATATCATCCATATCCCCTCCCTACCACCAAACACTGCCAGGCTCCACCAACCAAACACCCTTGACTGGAGCCCATCATTACAGGTTCTGGTGGTGGAACACTGGATCACCTCACGACAAGAGGACATAGATAACTTCATCCAACTGGTGGAGAACAAGGGCTTCAGCTACTACAGGCGGGACAACCATGACTTCTTCTTCATCCACAAGACACCTCGATGGGTTACCGCCAGACCTGGGGACCCTGGAGCCGTAGACAACACAAAGCCTTATGATGTGCTTCGAGTACCCGCCAGCAACTGATCGATGTCAACAATGATTCAGATGGGTTTTTTTTTTCTTACGTCAATTGATTCTTTGGCAATATTCTACTGTCAGCTTATCGTACGTCACAAATATTCTACTGTCAGCTTATCGTACGTCACAAATATTCTACTGCCAGCTTATCGTACGTCACAAATATTCTACTGTCAGCTTATCGTACGTCACAAATATTCTACTGTCAGCTTATCGTACGTCACAAATATTCTACTGCCAGCTTATCGTACGTCACAAATATTCTACTGTCAGATTTGGACATGCAACATCACAATAATCTCTGATGAATATAACATCTCTTTATAAATAAATTAAAATTCGTTATGACATATAGTGAGCGACCATCCTTGCTCAGTCTCTCTCTCTCTCTCTCTCTCTCTCTCTCTCCTACTCAGTACAGAAAGAAGATTAATAACAGAATGACATCAATCTTGCCTCGCCCACTGTAATACCGTGATCAGTGTCCTAATGTTCCTAATTATATAGAAGACAGAGAGACAGACACACAGACACACAGACACACAGACACACAGACAAACAGAGAGACAGACAGATACACAGACAGACAGACAGATATTCCTCCTATTAGCTGAATATGACATAATATTGAATGAAGGTGATGAACTAGCTAAAGGTTAAGATCTATCCAATGGCCACAGTCTATCCACCTACCACTATCTATCCAATGGCCAATCCCTATCCAGACACCAGCATATCATCCTGAGGTAAGAAGACGAATAGTTGAGGTTTAATGGTGAAAATTATTAATGTTGACGAGTGTGTGAGGCGACGAGGGTAAACCACAGAGATATCCTGTGGCATAGTGTGTGGTGGTGGTGCAGTGTGTGGTGGTGGTACAGTGTGTGGTGGTGGTGCAGTGTGTGGTGGTGGTGGTACAGTGTGTGGTGGTGGTGCAGTGTGTGGTGAGGCAGATATGGTGAGGAGAAGATATGCTGTGTGGTGAGGCAGATATGGTGAGGAGGAGGTATGTTGTGTAGTGAGGGAGGTAGGATGGTGAGAAGGGACGAGAATGAGGGAAGGATGGACGAAGAAGGAGAGAGAAAGGACAAGGAAGGAAGGAAGGAAGGAAGGAAGGAACGAAGGAACGAACGAACGAACGAACGAACGAAGGAAGGAAGGAAGGAAGGAGGAAGAGCCACCATTACTATATCAACTTGAGCCACCAATATAGGCGCCAACACAACGCAATAACAGCGCCACTAAACCATAACACTAGCACCAATACAACGCTACGCCACACATCACTTAAAATGGTCGAAAATTTAATCACACTTACTTCATCTTCAGAGGAAATTGTCAATATATCACCGGAGAACATTGTTTAATAGAGAGGCGTTGGGTAAGAGGAGTGGTGTGGCTGATGGTGTGGCTGGTGGTGTGGCTGGTGGTGTGGATGATAGTGTGGATGATGGTGTGGATGATGGTGCTGTGGATGATAGTGTGGATGGTCACTAATGGATCCTTCAAACCAAAGAGTTTTAAAGGGAGATTTTTGTATCACTGTTTTACGTAGAAGAAGAGAGAGACTGTTGACCATCACTGCCGCCCCCACAAGACTGTGTCCTCAACATCGTAATAGTGAACCCACCTCCCCCTCCTCTTCTTCAATACTATGTGGGAGGAGATGAGTTCTGATCCAACCTTGATACTACGACTCAACTTACAAGAGAAAAGAAGATAGAATGAGAGAAATGAGATAATGATGAAGAGAATATGAGAGAAAATATAAAGTTCCGACTCTCTCTCTCTCTCTCTCCCCACACTCCCATCTAAGCTCCCCTGTACTTCTCCTTACTGTCTTCAACCCCACTTCTTTTACCTCCCACCCCCACCTCTCTCTACATCCTCCCTACCTCCCCACCTCTACCTCCACCCCACCTCCCTCACCCCCTCTACCTCCACCCCACCTCCCTCACCCCCCTCTCTACCCCCCACCTTACCTCCCTCACCCCCTCTGTACCTCCACCCACCTTCCTCACCCCCTCTCTACCTTCACCCCACCTCCCCACCTCACCTCCAACCCACCTTCCTCACCCCCCCTCTACCCACCCCCACCTCCCTCACCCCCCTCTCACCCCCACCCCACCCCTCACCCTCTGCACCTCCACCCCACCTCTCACCCCTCTCTACCTTCACCCCACCTCCCTCACCCCCCTCTCTACTCCATCCCCACCTCCCTCACCCCCTCTCTACCTCCACCCCACCTTCCTCACCCCCTCTACCTCCACCCCACCTCACCCCCCTTCTACCTCCACCCCACCTCCTCCCTCACCCCCTCTCTACCTCCTCCTCACGCCCAATAAAATATACCCCAAGTCCTCGACCTTATATGACTGATTGACTTCCGGATCTACTTGATGGGAGGACAGTGTGTGTGTGTGTGTGTGTGTGTGTGTGTGTGTGTGTGTGTGTGTGTGTGTGTGTGTGTGTGTGTGTGTGTGTGTGTGTGTGTGTGTGTGTGTGTGTGTGTGTGTGCGTCACAAATTAGTTCGAAGAGGTTGTTCACGGGACGTCAAGTTTCTATGGTAAAGGGAAGTTTCTGTCGGATGACCGAATACCTTTTGTAACTTCAGTCACAAACTTTAGTCATGTTACCGCCTCTTCTTCCTCTTACTGCTTCTTCTTCTTCTCCGTTTTATTCCTTTTTCTCTCCCCCTCTTCCTCTCCATCTCCTTATCCCCTACATCATTAATAAGAGTCCCTTCCCCTATACCTACCACCTCACTGCCTACCCTTCCACCCCCAGCCTACCCTACCACCCCTACAGCCTACCACCCACGCCCCCCACAGCCCCCTACCACCCTACACCTACACCCAAAGCACCAGGTGGGCGTCGACAGGGACTTTATTACACAGGTCGTTGAACCAATCAGTGACACCTGGCTACTGTACGTCCTCAGACAGACAGACAGACAGACAGACAGACAGACAGACAGACACAAGGACTCCTACCTGTCACAATTACCTGTACTAAAGCTAAAAATAACAACAATACCATAGCACGCAATAAACTTCTTTTTTTATACTTTGCTTAAAAAAGTTATTATTAAAGTATGTTACAATATTACTGTTGACATTCCCGTCGTATTTTTTTGTCATAAATATTTGATGACGTGTAATGAATGCCTTTTAATTCATCTCCCTCTCTCACTTTCTCTCCCTCTCTACCTTTCTCTCCCTCTCTCACTTTGTCACCCTTTCCTCCCTCACTTCCTCTTCCTTTCTTCTCTCAGTTTCTTTTCCTTTTCCTCATTTGTCTCTCTTCTCACTTTTCTCTTTTTTACCTCACTTTTTCCCCTTTCTCCACCATCCCACCCCTCTTCCAACCACCATCCCATCCCCTCTTCCACCACCATCCACCTCTTCCACCACCATCCCACCCTCCACCATCCCACCCCTTCCACCACCATCCCACCCCCTTCCACCACCATCCCACCCCCTTCCACCACCATCCCACCTTCCACCACCATCCCATCCTCTTCCACCACCCATCCCATCCTCCTTCCACCACCATCCCACCCTTCACTCCACCATCCCACCCCCTCCACCACCATCCCATCCTCTTCCACCACCATCCCACCCTTCCACCACCATCCCACCCCCTCCATTCCCTCCTCTCCTCCCTTCCACAAAGTCAGATGTATAGGGCAGACGTCAAGTGACCAGCTAACTGAGCATATATTTGTGTTATCATGTGTGTGTGTGTGTGTGTGTGTGAAAGAGAGAAAATAGAGTGTAAATGGAAGAGGAATAATTGATATATTAATAAATGAAATAAACGCAAAGGGGAAAAGAAAATAACAGATGAATTAGATTATGTTTAGACAGACAGACAGACAGACAGAAAAATAGACAGACAGACAGACAGACAGACAGACAGACAGACAGACAGACAGACAGAAGGGGTTTATCAAGGTAATATTAATATGTGGACGAGAAAAACAGGAGTCCGTATGCAAATTAGATGATATGCAAATTAGCAGAGGGCGAGAACCGAGTTAATTGAGACCAAGAGACAAGAAAATGAGATAAGGAACTGAATAGGATAGGACAGGATAGGGAAGCTGATTAGGACGTAGGGGATAGGATGAGAGGATAGGATTGGGTTTTGATTCAGAGATGTGATAGTTGAAGGGGCAAGGAGATAGAAGGATAGAATGAAGGATGGAATGAAGGATGGGATGAAGGATGGAGTGAAGGATGGAATGAAGGATGGGATGAAGGATGGGATGAAGGATGGGATGAAGGATGGGATGAAGGATGGGATGAAGGATGGGATGAAGGATGGGATGAAGGATAGAATGAAGGATGGGATGAAGGATGGGATGAAGGATGGAATGAAGGATATTTCGAGTAGAATGAAAGATACAATGACAGAATGAAGGATAGAATGAGGGATAGAATGAGAGATATAGAAGACACAATGGCACCATAGCCTAGCATGGGAAGGTGAAGTGTGCGTGTGTGTGTGTGTGTGTGTGTGTGTGTGTGTGTGTGTGTGTGTGTGTGTAAAGTCATCACACACCCACAGCTGTTAAAACATTACTGTGCAAAATATCACCACACAACAGTCCAGCCGCCAATAAAAACACCCTAACAAATTTTTTCACTCATATATGGTCATACATTTCCCTCTATGGTCATATAGAGATAAACAAATAAGTCAAAATAGATAACGAAAAAAAAAATAAAAAAAAATTTATCCACGGGAGCCGTTAAGGATTTGCAAATAAAAAGTAAACATGAACGCTGATTCGTCCTCCCTTGCTATGACGCTATAACGATATGACGTGCTCTGATTGGCCAATACCCACTATGACGAAAAGAAGGCATAACGTACGCTGATTGGACAATACCCACAATGACGAAAAGAAGGCATAACGTACGCTGATTGGACAATACCCACTATGACGAAAAGAAGGCATAACGTACGCTGATTGGACAATACCTACCATGACGTATGAGGACATAGTGTGTGTTTATTGGTCCTCGTTTACCATGGTGTCAGCTCGTGTTTATCTCATTAAAATATTAAGTTAGCTTTAGGTTACGTTATATGAAGCTAAGGACGGCAAGTTTAGCTTAGATTAGACGAATAAAATAATAAAAAGACGAAGAATGAGAGAGATAACAGAGATAAGATAAGAGAAAGGGGAGTAAATGAGGAAGAGGGGAAGACGAAACACACACACACACACACACACACACACACACATTATCTCTT